TTATATGTAACTTAATTACAGTAGCTTCTTCTTCCCACTCATCCCAATTTTGCTGAGAGTTGTAGGAACAACAGATTATAGGATTATGACTGCTCAGATTGCTCAGAAAGCCATTTGACAAGACAATAAAGGACAGATGATAGCATTATTATCCCAGTTCCTACCTGTGCAGCCACTGTGTGTATTCAGTCTGGACAATCTCAATATAAATAGTGTTTTAGTTCCTAATATCTTTCAAAAAACTAATTTCAAATTTTTATTCCAAGGACAAACCAGGACTCTTGGGTAAACCCAAGAATTCAGCCCATATTGTCCCTTTAAAACAGTTATTTTCTCCAAGGGTGATTTTAGTCCACTCACTATGTCCTGTAAGTCCTTAGCAGCATTCTGAGGTAGAATATGAAAGCAAGAAAGTAAAGGACAGACAGAAGGTTTGCTGTACCAGGACAACACACACAGCTTTCTCAGATGCACTGCTTGTTCATCTCAGGTTGCATGAATGGCTGCAGCGGCGATGCCCTTATTAAACGCTGAACCTTGTATGCAGACTTCAGAATATGTTAAATGCATTGAAGTAAGAATCATAGAATCATAAAACATCTCAAGTTGGAAGAGACCATAAGGATCATCAAGTCCAACTCCTTGCTCCTCACAGGACTACCTAAATCTAAACCAGATGACTAAGAGCATTGTCCAGTCGCTCCAGGGTCCAGCGTTCCTGACACTGACAACTCCATAGGGCCCCCCACACCAAATAGGTGTATCTGTCACCCCAGAGCCAGCATTAGAATTTCTGTCCCAAGGCAATGCAGGTACACTCAACAGTATGGGTGGTGGACTTCAATTGGAGTTGAAACCAGCGATAAAGATGTACTTTGATAGCAATAGAGAAGAATCAGACTTACCCGAGTCACCAAGAAGTCAAGGGAAGTGCTTGGAAGAGCTATGGGAGAGAAGAGCTTTTATATCGGAGCAGCTGGAGGTATAAGATCAACATTTGTTGCCCGCCCCAATTTCAAACACGTGTAACCCGTGAAGATGACGAAATTGCTGTGTTCATTATTGGAGTTTATGTGTCCTTTGAAATTTGTTTGTAACAGGGACCTAAACATTACTTTAGATGATAGAGAATTCTTTCATCTTGTGACGACTTGGGGGAAAATTAATACCTGACATTATTCCAGTCACTTCCTTGAAATTACAACAGAAATTATTAAGCCAGTTCCTCTTGTATTAATTGAACACCTGGAGAGTGTCTCATGGGTTTATCAGAATTACGAACTGCTGTCATGGACAGGATTTTTGTTTAACTACATATAATTCACATTACAACCTGCCAGGACAGAAGTGAAAGGCTGACAATGTGATACGCAGGAAGGCTGGGGGTGGTTTCTGCATGCTTAGCTTCCCCATCTACAGTTGGGGAACACAGCACCCTTGGGAGTCGATGGTATTTTCCAGTAGTGTTTGACATTGGCTGCAATGGGGACAATTGAGCTCAGAAGAGGAGCAGCAACTCCAGGGATCTACAATGTGTGCTTCAGTCTCTAAACAGCGCTAAAGTGGAAACTGAAATTTAACCTTGAGCAGAAAAAATGGTGAAATCCTTAATTTTGGAGTGCTGGGAACTCGTTTCATGCAGATATGAGCTGAATCGTTTCCTCCATCCATCAGTCACTCAAACAGTTACATTATCTTACAAAAATGTGTAGGGCTAAGGCTGCAGTATTTCACATAGGAAATGGAGAAGAAGCCTTTATCTTCCTGAGGTTTGCTTTTGTTTTTTAAGAAATAAATAAGGAATGAGTTTCTTCATGAGTTTCTTCTTCTTCTTTAGTTAATCCTGTAATTAACTAAAGCTACAAAGGGATTGGAGGTCCCAAAGAGACTTTTTCCAGGTATTGTTGGTTTGATGCTGTCAGTAGAAAGATGGTACTTGAGAATATTTAATAGGCCTAAGGAAATCTAAACTTTTTCGGTACAAATGCATCATCAGGTACAAAAACTGAAATGTGACAGAAGTGCTTTGAATTATTGACTTTGAGTCTCAGGTATTCATGACCTCCTGTAATACGCTATTGTTCCTGCAAGCTGTAAGTCCTGAACAGGGCTGAGCTGGCAGTTTCTGCCAACAGGGAACAATTATGAACTTGGAATGCATCACGTAAAACAAAGTGTGGTTCTTCACTTATTTACAAATGTGTTATTTTAATACTGCAGACTCTATGCCACAGATTATCTCTAAATTATGAGGTGGGATTCTCAGCCTTTGAGGTGGTTAGAAGGTTTTTTTTGCATAGTAGTATTTTCAAGCTTCCAGGGAGCAAGTCTTTTCAAATGCCGTAAACTATCCACTAATGGTTCGAGAAGGCGTTCTTACAATTAGATTAAAGGCATGTACCTGGATTTAGGTGCCTAGCAATTACAGAATGAGATCACATTAAAATATGTAAGTCAAGGTATTTGTGTCCTTGGTATAATCAGTTCATGGCTGAATACTGGGATTTGTGCATCTTCAGTTTTTTTCAATGTAGAAGAATAGAATGAAATATAAACTTATAACTAAAGACAGCATTTCATAAGCTCTATAATCAGTGTATATCATTTTCGGTTGCACATCAGACCACAAAAACAGAGGATTCAACTATTTTCTCAAGATGTTACAATTCTATCAACGATCAGCCTTTATCAGTGTAAATGAATTTTCTGTAGAGAAATATACCTGTAGAGAAATACCGTGGCATATCTCCAGATTGCTTTAGCAAGTTGCCACCGTTCATGTTTCATTTAATTTTGTTTCTCAGTAGTCTTCAATATTGCCTGATTCAAAGATGGACCTAAAAATGGATCCCTGAAGGCTTTCTGTCAGGAGACAGAAAACTGGAAAATGTGGGTGACAAATGCTTCACAACGAAAGTGCCTTGCAATCCTGAGAACAGAAAGGGTAAGTATTAGTTTGCCTCTAGATCCAACCTGGGTTGAAATACAGTGAGAGAGACCTGTTCGAAAAATCTGAGTAGTTTAAAAGGATGTTCTGTCTCTGCTTTCTGCTCAAAATGGTCCAAAGGACTTGCCAGCGTTTGAGAAAAGTACAGGGAGAGTAATCCACCGCCAAATGCACAACAAAGCAAGCAAGAGGTATTTCCCCAAGTTCCCCATTAATGAAACGAGGCAGCATTGTGTTCAGGAGCAAAAGCCAAACAATAGAAAACCATTTAAGGACCACAGGATGTTTTCTATGGCTTCCTTTGCGTGCAGTATTGGTCTCACATTAAGTACCTGAGCGTACAAATCATAAGGATAAAAATGACGACCCTAAAGTTGCTCTAAAATGGAACTCCATTTTATCTCCAGGTATCTTACAGCCTGGATTTAATGGAAAAATCTGTGCACATCAGGTGACCACAGCCACGCACTAAGCAGCTGGGTTTGCCATTAATAATGGAGAAGCTAAAGAAGAGCGTTACTATAATTCTTGTTGTAACGCCAAGGATGTGAAGAATGATAACAGGAATGAATATGACATGTAACCATTTGAGATGAAAGAGGTTTCTGTGATGAAATGCACCTATCGTATTTCACGAGACTTCGAACCAACAAATAAACAAACAGTCAGCAAAACTTTGAGGACCTACGTGTCATATTAGTTTTGGGTTTGCCCCAATTATGCACATGCACAAATTGCACCTTAGGTGATCCCCATGATCTAGGGAACTGTATAAAAGCTCTCCCAACCCAGGACTCTTCATTCCATCTTTCTTGCTTTATTCACCTCTGTGAAAAGGGTAAGTATCATTCTATGCGGTCTCTTCCCTAAAATTCGAGTATCTCTTTTCTGTTGGTGTTAATCAAGGTCGGAAACATCTGTAAGTGTTCTAAGATTCTTAATAATGTTGGATTATTTCACCATAAATTTATTTTTCTCATTTAATGTTAGACATCCATGTATTTGGGTTTAAAACTGTAAAGTTAGATTTTTCAACATTTATTGTTTCCTGTTAGTACAAATTTGAGCTATCAAAGAGGCTTTCAAAACATCAGCAGAAGACTTGTTCAGTCACTAGGAACATTTTAAGGATTTTGCATGTGAGTTTTTGATATGTGTCTATGTATATGTATGTATTTGCTGAGGGGACAAGCTTAACCAGGAAGCGTATGGAAGTATTGTCTAAAGAAGTATTGGAAAACAGGGATGAAACGGGCAAATTCTAACCTACCCTTTACACTGTCCTTGCTTTGAGCAGGGAGTTGGACTAGATGACCTCCAGAAGTCTCTTCTAATCTAATATCGTATTGGTTCTAGAGGGGGGAAAAATTGTACACAGGTGGTATTCTTAGTCCTTCCATGGGTTTTCTTTTAGATTGGATCAGATCCTATGGTGAAAACTTTTCTGAAGATCTCAGATCCCGACATACTTATCTGCAGTAGAAACCTAGCCCTAGTTATCTCAGTGTACCAGTTTTCCATCTGGGAAATCATACAAATAATCTTTTCACCCACCCTGTGACTCTCAAGCTACTTTACAAGGACTTCAGGGCAGGGAATGCCTTATTTAATCCATGTTTATAGTAGGTTCAGTACACTGGCAGCATGATTTTAGCTGTTGCTTCTGGAAGGATGTTACAAGTCAATATGCCAGAGTTGTTCTTCCAGCCACCCATTAATTTACCACAGGAGTTTGTTGGTTTTCAGGTTACACTGCTTTGTTTTTGCTAGTACGAAACAAACATGAAACCACCTTGCAGACACAGACATGGTAAGAGTGGCTGCAAAGTTTAGTAGAAGTAATTTGCGAAACAAAGTGCTGGATAATATTTTTGCAGTGTTTGGCAGTGGGGTAGAACAAAGAAATACTTCTTAAAGAGAGTTAAGTATCAGAAATTAGGAATGAGACCGTAGAAGAGATGACTGCTCAGTGTGCAATCTGGACAATGCTGATTTACAAGAGGGAGACACATCTCATGAAAAATACTGAAGAGAAGGAAGGACAATCAAGATCTAAAAGATACAGCCATTATTCTAGCCCATGTATCCAACTTCCAAACTCTTTTTCCCATTGAGTTTGTGTCTTTCTTTTACTCATCAGTGTGTGTTGCAGCGTACCTCCATCCCTGCGAGATGTCTTGCTACGACCTGTGCTCCACTGCTGTTGGTGGCATCAACCGCCCCCAGCCCCTCGCTGACAGCTGCAACGAGCCGTGCGTCCGTCAGTGCCCTGACTCCACGACTGTGATCCAGCCACCTCCCGTCGTCGTCACCTTCCCCGGCCCCATCCTCAGCTCCTTCCCCCAGGATTCAGTTGTGGGATCCTCTGGAGCACCCGTCCTTGGGGGCTATGGGGGCTATGGCTCCCCTGGCTATGGGGGTCTGTATGGCTCTGGGGGGTACGGCTCCCTGGGTTATGGAGGTCTGTACGGCTATGGGGGGTACGGCTCCCTGGGCTATGGGGGTCATAGGGGGTCTCTCTGGGTTACAGGGGTCTGTATGGCTATGGTAGACCCTACGGTGCTGGCTATTGCAACCCTTACTCCTGGTACGGCAGGTACAGCCGCGGCAGCTGCGGGCCCTGCTAAACACAACAGGAAAATCCATTGAATAATGTACAAGTGAAAAACAAAATGCAGATTCACCATAGGGCAGATGAGTGACAGCTTTGTGAAAGCACTCACAAATCCTGTTCAGTGCAGTGCCTTCTGCATGCTCCACACCTCTCCTTTTTTTGCTTCGAATTCTTTCCTGATATCTTCATGGGTTCAACGCCTTGTTATCTTCGACTTTATCATACTTGTGACTGAATGCAGCGAGACATTTAAGAGCATCTTTCAAAATACCTTTGACTCTGACATCTTGGACATACATTCTTGATATTACAATGTATTTTTGTCTTTCTCATTAAAATTCTGTTGCATCATTTAAAATAAGTGTGTTGTGGTTTTGCGTTCTCAACCGTTCCATATTTGCCAACTTTTCTGAATAAAACTGCCTGTTGTACATAAGGCTGCAATAACATTGTGCAAACCCTGCCCACATAGTGAAAGTCTCAGTGAAGAGCCCTTGCTAGACCTGTTTTACCACTGAATTGCAACAACATGGTCATAACTTGCTAGCCATAGATGAACAGCAGCTTTCCCTA